TATTAGTTTGAACGCATTTCTATCTGTTTGACTGTTAATTGATCTGTTCATGTTTTAAATGTCGAACTGTGAATCGAAGGCCTTATCGGCGGCCGAATTTGAAATCTATTAATGTTTTATGTTAATTAGAATTTATATGATTTTATGGTAGATTTGATTGAATTGTGATTTAGAATTATTAAATTAGATTAAAAAGTTGTATTACATCAATTTGAGTTATTTACCAAAATGCCACTTAGTGGATTTTTTCATGAGCCATTTATTTGATTTATATATGTTAGCATTATCACAACTCTTCAGCCATTTTCCTCAAGTCCAAAACCGAGTGAGTGAGAGAGGGAGAGTAGGAGAATTGATTCATCTTGAAATCTTGGCTTGAAATTTAGAAGAATTGAAGAGTAGATTGCAATTTGAGCTTCTATACCTTGAATTGAGGACCTAAGGTAGGAGAATCATCTTCTTGAACTTGTATTCTAGTTGTACCTTGCATGGTTAATGAGTCTTTAGTGATCTAAGTCTAGAATTGGTTCTAACATGTTGAATTAAGGCTTAAATCACGCATGCTGTCACGACCCAAACCCGGCCCTATGGGTTTAGAACCGTAACCGGCCAGTAATCCGAGATTACCGAAGGCCTGCAGAACAGTAATACAGTACTCACATGCATGTCTTTATTCTAGCTATGGTCCATGAATTCATCATGTTTTTGAGTGAATTGACTCATTTGATCATGTATTGGAAGCTTTGATTTCAATTGAACACATGCATGTCTTATGTTCATCATGTTCATGAAGTTTTGTTGAAATTGTGTTTTATTGGAACTACCTTTGGGCTTTGATTTTGCAAATTGATCTTTGAAACATGTCATATTATGAGTTTTGAAGTGTTTTCCAGAAAATTAGCCCAAAAGGATCGGATTTGATGTTTGAAATGTTGAATTTGAGCTTGGAGGTTCAATCTAGAAATTCCAGATTTTGGACCCACGCTCAAACGCAAGACGTCATGCTCGAGCGTACAATCTGAGTACATGCGTCCCGCTCGAGCGGGGAAAGTAACGCTCGAGTGTTAAATGCGTGTATCCAGTACTTTTCATATGTTTACAGTCCTCTTGAGCGAGGTAATGCACGCTCGAGCGAGGACTTGTGTCTCGTGCTCGAGCGGAGGTCGAGCGCCCATTGAGCGTGAATTGCATGCATCCAGTACTTTTACTGTAGTTTACAGTCCGCTCGAGTAAAGGAAGTCACGCTCGAGCGGAGATCCTTTGTCTGCATATCCGCTCGAGCGTAGAAAGCCACGCTCGAGCGAGACCCCTGTTTTCTAAAAATTCTGATAAGTGTTTTAAAGTACATCTTTGCATCCTCATTTCATCCTAGGCATTTCTAGGCCTAGTTTAAGGCATCTTAATGAGGATATTGATGTAGAACCACACTAAGTCAAGATAGGGACTAAGTTATTGTTTCCCAAATGTGCAACTTAGTGTGTGTTTATCCTGTAACTGTGTAGGGTTGGCATCCGAGGACACTCACTAGCCTATCTGTAGCCCAGAACTCTGTGAGTAACAATGTTGTAAAGATATATTCAATCATGAATATTTTCTGAATGATCAACTGTACTGCTTTCTGAAATGATATTTCTTACTGAATAAATGCTTGTCCTATTTGCGAACTGTATTCGTGGCATCCATAGCAATTTACTGTTACTGTACTGTACTGCTACTGTCACAGAGATCTCTGTCGGTTCCCATGTTTGGAACCACTACTATTTACTGATATGATGGCCATCAACTGACTGTTCGGTCTGTTAAGACCTACTGTACTGTTTGCTATTGGATGTACCACTTATGACTGCTATGATCGAATAACTGATATATTGTTCAAATGATTGTTTTAAATACTGAAAGGACATTCATTCATAACCTCTTTACGCATATGTTATTCACTGGGATTTAGCTCACTGTTTATATATATATGTAGATGTCTAGGCACCAGATTGGAGCTAGAAGCGTTGGGTTAAACTCCCTTTTTGTCAAGCCAGCCATTGTGCCTCACTGAGAGGTTCCAAGTCCTTCAAGCTAGGGCTTTTTGGGGTGTTTTAGATTCATCCTTTCTGTCTCTGTTTTTGTATAGACTAACTGTACCTGTACTATACTGTTCTAATAGGGATTAGGTCCCTGTCCTGGATGATTGTATATGCATGTACATACTGCTTTTGTTCCGAATATGAATGTGTTATGAAAAGTCTTTTTGCATACAAACTGTCACAACTCATTGGACATCTTTTATTACTGTTTTGGTTTCCGCCAGCCCCTGTACTTTGTATTACTGTTACTACTGTTAAGCAGGCCTTCAGTAATCACGGATTACTGGCTGGTTACGGTGCTAAACCCATAGGGGCGGGTTTGGGTCATGACAAGAAGATAGGACTCCAATCGGGTTCCCGTTTTGGGAGTTAGAGTCGGATTTCACTCTAGGCAAACTAGTTCCTTAAGAAACTTGAATTCAATGTGTTGACGCCCTAAAATCACCAAACGGCATCGGTTTTGCATGAAACTTGGCACATACGATCGCCTAGGCACGAGAAATTTGTGGGAGAAGACGGGACTCCAATCGGGTTCTCAATTTGGGAGTTAGAGCCGAATTTTACTCTAGGCAAACTAGTTCCTTAAGAAATTTGAATTCGAGGTGTTGACGCCCCAAAATACCAAACGGGGTCGGATTGGCACGAAACTTGGCACACACGACCACCTAGGCACGAGAGACTTGTGGGAGAAGACGGGGCTCGAATCGGGTTCTCTGTTTGGGAGCTAGAGTCGGATTTCTGTCTAGCCAAAATTATTTACTTAATTATCTTTGTAATTATATAGTAGTTAATTTTTTTATATTTTTTTGTAATTAAAATATTAACACATAATTATATTGTCATTAATTTTTTTTTATTTTTTATTTTTAGATATTTCCCCGATAGCAGTTTGCTTCTTGTGAAATGCAGGCGTGTGAAGATTGCGATTAACTTTTTTTTTTATTACCCACGGAAGAATCATGACGAAAACTTTTGTTTTTGATTTACGTTATTTTGAATTGTGAACAACATTATGTATTTAAACATTATATATGTATTATGCAATATTATGTAGTGGGATAATTTTGCTAATGTATTGTTATGAATGGAAGAATATTTTTATTATGGATGAATTGTTATTTTTATATTATTATGTAATTATTGGTTTATTTTTCAGTTATTTTTCATTTAATACAAGTAATTTTCATATTTTTAATAATTTCATTGCAGTTTTTTTTTTTTTTTTTTTTTTTGAGACGGCACCACACCGTCTCCAAAAATATTATAACCAGATTGTTTTTGCGACATAAGCAATGCCGTCACCAAAGATATTGGCAATAGTTGAAAAAAACCTTTCGCGACGGTATTATTTGCCGTCGCAAATAACCTTTTAAAGACGGTGTTGTCGTGCTGTTTCAAATAAACTTTTAGCGACGGCAGGTTACCCGTTGAAATAAAACACTTTCGCGATGGCATTTTTGCCGTCGTAAATAACACTTTTAGCGACGGTAACACAGTGCCGTCTCAAAAAATCTCAGATTTTTACTTATTAATGGTGACGACAAAATTTCATCGCAAAAAGGCAACTTTGCCGTCGCAAAAAAAGGCGACGGCAAACCTTTTAGCAATGCCTTTTGTTACGACCCCCTACTTGCTATCGCTAAAAATCATTTGCCGTCGCAAAAAAGCTTTTGAGTTGGCATTTTAAGTATTTGTGACAGCATTTTACCGTCGCAAAAAGTCAAATTTTTTGTAATGCCGGTAACTACTGTCCTCCTCTTCACTTGTTCATCATTATAATTTTCTAAATAGAAAAAGTGATTGTGTTTAACTAATTAATTATGTGATATTTGTTTTGTGGTTATAATTGATGACCTTACTTTCTGTTTTTCAATTATTGATAATTCAGCAATTTTATTTGTTCACTTCATGTTATGTTGTGAAATTATGATTGAGTATATTTACAATAGTTTTTTGTATTAAAAATATAAATAAATAAAAAAATTAAGAATGTTTTGATTTTTTTAGCCTTTTTTTGTTTTGGTAATTTTGATAGCTATATTGTTATAACTGTGCTACATCCACGCAAATTTCTCCCCCACAATCTCTACAAATGTGATGGCAAGCAAAATTTCAAAAGTTGACCCATAGTCCAATTGGTGTAGAACTTGCATTATGTCTTACCATCTCATTTGTGAGGATTGTGGAAAAGAAAATTATATAGATGAAGCATATTTTATATTGTTAATTTATATATATTTTTAAATTAATTATGCTATATTGTGAACCAGAAACTCGTCCATTTAATCTCTTTTTTGTTCACTCACTGGTCCAGAAAACTTACTTTCACTTTTACTACATCAGCATTCGAGCCTCAAGGTTTTTGCATCTTATACGTCCCAAGTGCTTTTCTAACCGTATGCTCTATAGAACTTTTTTGTCTTCAAATTAGTGCGTTGATCTTTTGTCTTTCTCCTCTGTTATATTTCTCTTAATCATGTTTTATAAAATAAAAAGATAAAAAAATGTCACTTAGTGCACAAGACTCCCATTAAAGTGGGATACGAGGAATAAAATTTGCACAATCTTATCCCAATTTATGGAGAAACTGATTTCAGAACCCGGACCTGCGCTAATGCTAACGTCAAGCCTCACAATTAGGCCTTCCAGTATTATAGGAGCAATTCAATCAATTTTCTTTGAAGACAAACAGGTATCAAGTGGAGAGCAACGGCATGTACCAAAATTTTCTGGGATTACCTTAATACCTTTAGTAAGACTGACAAAAATATCTTTTGTAGCACATATTCTTGTACCATATCAAATTTTCCTAATTGTTTAACCTAAGAAATTCTATGATGGGCTGTTAATGCCTCTGAAAAATTCAAGATCAGTCATACTGCATCCAAAAAAATAAAAATGAAAAAAGAAGACGTTTTGGAAGGTGAGCATTTAACTAATTTGTTGGTATTATGAAATTCAACTTACAAGAAAGAAAAATTACAAAGGAAAAATTACAAACATCATAAAACAGCTTCAGATCATGTCTTTCAGGTACAAACATAGTGAACAAAAAGTTATTATAACAACTTACTAAGAAACAATAAATAATGTAATGTTCGCATAGAGTACACTGTAATACACCTTAATTAGCAGATTGGAAGAGGAGCACCGTTCCATTCCTTCAAACAATTCAGCAGAGGATCAATCAATTTCCCAGCACAAATAGCCGAAAACACCTTATCAAACTCCTCACCAGGCGATTGGACCTCTTCACCGGTTAAAAAAACACTACCCAACTCTTCTCTCACAAACTTGTATAATGGGTATGACCTACATTCCTTGATTCTGTTTTTGATCTCTGGCCTTCCTGTCTCAACGCCACGTCTTGCATTTTCTACTTCTTTGGGCAAAAGGGCCTTTAGCTCGTCCTCAAAGGCGCTGATCTTTTGGAAAATTGAAGTGTTCGAGTCCTGTTCCATGTCGCCATTCTTCAAAGCGTGCTCGACTAGGACTTGCCTTAGCTTCTGCATCAATGGGTAAGTACTGCTGCACGGATCATCGATGTATGTGAAGACGTGTTCACTATCCACCACTGTGAGCAAGTCCTTTTCACAGAATCTAGAAGGGTGACGCTCTCCATTGAAGCCCATTGTCAGAACTTTTCTAGCCACGTGACTCACTGTGTTCTTGACTATGTTCTTTAAGTTTTCTTCCAAGTGCCTCAAGTCTATGGCTTGGCACAGGGCCACCAAGTAAGTGGAAGACATGAGCTTTAGTATGTCAATAGCTTCAGCTGTTTTTCTTGAAGAGATTAAGCCCAAAGAGTTCACATCTTGGTTGTGTTGCTCGGTGCTTTGGACATGGTTGGTCACCGGACTAGCCAAAAATTGGAGTTCAGAACAATAGGCTGCCATTGCGATTTCAGCGCCTTTGAACCCGTAATCCAAGCTAGGATTACGTCCTCCAGATAGATTCGAAGGCAACCCATTGTTGTAGTAGTCATTGACAAGCTCGGAAATTTGTGCAAACATGAGTTTTCCAATTGCAGCAATGGCTAGCCTAGTGTTGTCCATTGAGACTCCAATTGGGGTACCTTGGAAATTTCCACCATGTAAGGCCTTATTCCTAGATACATCAATCATAGGGTTGTCGTTGACCGAGTTTATCTCTCTTTCGATCATTTTTGTTGACGCTCTAATGACTTCAATTTGTGGGCCTAGCCATTGAGGCGATGTCCGGAGGGCATAGCGGTCTTGTTTGGGCTTTTGGAGAGGATCAATTTCATGTAGCTTTTGAGCTTCTTTGACGTAGGCGCTTCCAACTAAAATGTGTTCCATAATAGCTGCAGCCTCAATTTGGCCCGGGTGATGCTTCAACTTATGGGTCAAATAGTCCGTGAATTCGGGCTTTCCTTGCATGACTTCGGCGAACAGGGCTGACAAAACTTCAGAGAGGATGGCAAGGATGTTGGCTTCGAAAAGAACCATGGATGCTAGGCCTGACCCAACTGCAGTGCCATTCACTAGTGCTAGGCCTTCTTTGGGCTGCAACTCAAAAAACCCGGTATTGATACCTGCCTGACGGAAAGCCTCCACTGCATCGAGAAACTCCCCGTTGGGCCCAACGGCCTTGGAATTGGGCCTGCCTGTCAAAAGCCCAGCAATGTAAGATAGAGGGACTAGGTCACCCGATGCGGTGATGGTGCCCCGGAGGGGCAAGCATGGGGTGATGTTATGGTTTAGCAACTGAGTCATGGCTTCTAAGATCTCAAACCGGATGCCTGAGTATCCTTGGAGGAGGGTATTGATCCTCACCAGCATCGAGGCCTTTGTCGCCGATCGAGGCAGAGTATGGCCAGATTCCGACCCGTTTCCGAAGATTCCAGCATTCAAGAATCTGTTGCATCAAAAAATTTCATAGAAATAGCCTAGTAACATTGATTTGTACATTACCATAGTTATAAATAATTTGAAATCATTTGATCCATTAAAAATACGACTTTCTAAATCAAGAGGTTAGTGGAATCCAAGTATGAATTTAATCATTTTTTTATTAGTTTTTCTATAATAGAATTAATTACAAGTATTAAGACTGATTGGTATCTTCAACACCCTGAAATGCTTCGAAGTTATGTTGATTAAACTTTATTAATTTTCCACTTTTTTGTAAAAAAAATTCTTTATGACGTTAGTAAGATCAAAAAATTTTATCAATCAATTGTTTTAAGGCAAATTGAACAAGTCATGCCAAGTAATTTAGAGTCTCTTAGAGATCCAATTGTTGTAAATCATTAAATTATTTCATAAGGTGTGGCGATTTTGGCTGGTATACTCATTTTAATATTTAATTGATAAAATTAAAAAATGTAATTATTTCAATCTCTTAATATTGTTATCGTTTTTCTTTCTTATTTCTCAAATTATTGGATTTTCACTTAGTTCATTAGCACCCCAACTTATGTAAACAAATAGTTATCATAATCTCATAATAATAACATATGTTTGCATAATACCGTTTAGAAAAATAATCTACAAGTCCACTTTCTAAACCCAATGATGTGTAAGTGATATGATTGATTGATGATTGAGAATATATAAGAGAGAGTGTTACTTTAAATATCTTAATTGATTGCTACATCATTCAACTTGAAAATTGAATTTAGTATTTGAACTTGTATAATAATATGTTTATTGTGCCCATACAATAATTTATTATTAAATAGTAATATTGTGTGTGGAACTCATGTCTCATCTGTTTAAAATTTATTAATGGTGTGTTTGGTTGGGGAATTTGGGGAGGGATTTGGAAAGGAAAAGGGAAAAGGAAAAGGTGTGTGAAACTATGTGAAATATAAGTATATTTTATTCATATTTCACCTAACTTTTCATTTTCCCTTTCCAAATTCCTCCTCAAATCCCCCAACCAAACACAGCATAAAGTTACTATCTCCAACTATCCCTTTAATTATATGTTATAATTATGTTTGGGAATCATTTATCAAATGGTATCTTCACTTTATCTTTCACATAATAAAAATTAAAAATATATATTTTTTCATATTTATGCGGATATATATTATTTGGCAAATGAAACACACACGTCAATGAATTACTGCAAAAGTTTAGGCACTTAATTTAATAATTGTCACAACCCCACCAAAATTATAGACATGGTAGATGTTCAAGAAACCACCTAATCCCTCTAATAGAAACAATTCATACACACAGCCAGCTTAATGAGTAGAAATTTTAAAAGGTGAGTGCTATTAATAAATCTTATAAAATCATGTTCATTCGTGTGGTTTTTTTTGTATCTGATTATGATTTCTTCATTTTATTTTTGCATCCACGATTAATATAAAGATTATCATAAAATCATGAAATGAGCCAAAACATTTTAATTATTTACCTTATGAGCTCCGTTTGTAGAGCTCCACCCTCTTTGGTTCTCCTATGTGAAGTTGCACCAAAACCAGTTGTGATACCATAAGTGTCAACTCCATTTTTCATGCTTTCCATCACCCATTCACTGCTTGCCACGACACCAGCCCTAGACGCCGCTGAGAGCTCCACCTTGACTTCCACGTCATGGGTCGCTATGGCCGCCACCTGTCCTATGGTTAAGGTCTTGCCACCAAGACAGATCTCCGGCGTCCGATACTTGGCCACCATGGCCTTGACTTCATCCAAGTGACTACCCTTCAAGGACTCTGCTGCCATGCCCCAATTCAAAGGGTCTTGGACACAAATTGAGGTTTGCCCATTAGAGTGACCATTAGTGATTTCCATTTTGCCAAATGAGAAAATTCAAAAGGGTTGAAAATGTTTTCAATTGAAATAATTAGAATGTAAGATGTGCTTGAGAGAACTATGATGGGGTACGTACGTATGTGTAATATGAAAGGAAATGAAATGAAAGAATTAGTATTGGCTAAAGGAAATTGAAAGCTTAATGATCAATTTCCTGAGTTTAGATTGGCCAATTTTGGTGGTTTAAATAGAGAGGGGGCTAAGCCAAGATCATTTTTGAGTGGTGTTGGGTGGGGTCGGGCATGCCGAGGTGTTAGTTGAGAAATTCACGTGGCCGTCAGATTTTCGAAGGATAGATGGTCAGGATGGTGACATGTGGCAGATTGGTAGGATATGATTTGGTGGTGGGGTGGGGTCCAAGAACGAGAGGGTTTTTTGATTGGTCAACAAAAGGGCTAAAGGGATTGAAGAGGTAGAGTTGGGGGTTGGTGAGACTGAGTGGAATTAGGCCAATGGTTTACACGAGAGCACTTCGTCACTATCTATTTATTTTTAATTTATCACTTTTTCCCCTTCAACAGAAATTTTTATTTTTTTATTTTTTTATTTTTTTTACACATTATGCTAGTGATTATATCAGTAGTCGTGATAATGATAACAACAATGGTGGGCAGTGGAGGTGAAAGAGATCGTGGTAGTAGTGGTGATAGCAGCGGTAGCGAATAATGATTGAGATGATAGTGGTAATGACAATGATAAATGATAATATCAATGATAGTGGTGATGATTAATGGAACTTGTTTTCTAATTTATTAATTACAGAATTTTTATTTTTGTTTTTGTACGCAAATGTTGTTCATAATATACACTATAATATGGTGGGTCACATTTTATTGTTATTATTATTATTTTAAAATTTTGTGGTTGGTTTTTAGACTCTTGTTAGCTAAAAGACAATATCATAAACTAAAAAGAAAAAATGATGATGTCATATTACAATCTTAGAAATTATTATATCAATGTTATTTAGTTAAAATTTTCCGAAAAAATAATATCTGTTTGTTTTTAGTTTTTGAAATTCATTTTTCAGAAAATTTTATTTTTTCTTTTTCCGTATTTTTTTTGTTTTTACTAATTTTTTAAAAATATTTTAAACAAAATTTTTAATTTTTAGACACACCTAACATAAATACACTTAGAAAGTATAATATTTGTGAAAAATATCTTTAAAAAATTCACTAAATACCAAAAATATTTTAAAAAATGAAAATTCAGTACATTTTTCATATTTTTGTGTATTTATTAATTTTTTAAAATATTTTTTTCACAAATAATTTACTATTTAGATATATATAAGTAAGGTACATCTAAATAAGTAAAAAATTTGTTAAAAATTTAAAAAATATTCACTAAAAATAAATAAATTCAATTTGCAGAAAACGGAAATCAAATACACTAAAATTATTTTTTTTTAGCAACAAGAAGAGCATCACTTTATTTCACTTCACATAACTATTAGCATACACAACATGTAATACAATCGATATAAGCAAGAAAATATGTGTACGAGGAGCAAATATTCAGGCAAGCCCGTACTCCCTTCTTCCAAGCTCCGCTTCTATCCGATCACCTGCGTACACAAGGGCGGTGAGCTACCCGGTGGTGTGTGGCCGGAAAACCCCTCCAACGGTCAAGTTAGAACACACACCAGGGGATAGATAGAGAGAAGGGAGAGAATTGTGTTTAGTATTTATCTCACCAAAAATGTCCTGTGTCAAGCATAGGGGCGCAGACTTGCTTATATACCTTCTGCGCCCCAAATCTACTCCCAGTGATCTTTTGACACGTGGTTCTGTTATCCCATCTGTCAGCACAAATCTTGCTGAGTATCACCTAACCCAATTGCCAGCCCACTCTACTAGGAGCTCGGCAGCCGGGCAACATTATCTCGGCTACCAATGGCCGTACTCAACTTCAAGCCCAAGCACACTTGACGGCGTAATGCTCCTCCAACTGGGCTCATTTCTAGCCGTGCTCGACTGCATTCCAACGAAGCCGAGATGGAGGTTGATCACCTTGGTCGTGTCGGGCTGAGGGCGCATGTATTACAACCGAGCAACGCGCGAGCTGTGGAACCCTTACCTGACTGAACCTTAACCTGCCCAGTCTCCGTGCCGACGAAATCAGGTAGCTCGGTTTCACAAGGCCTTTGCCATTACCGAGCAAGGTCACGGCCCAATCTCGGAGCCAAATACCTCGGCCCAACCTCGTTCGGCCCAATCTATCCGGCTAATTCCACGGCCCAATCTCATATCATTAATCTCCCTCTCAATATGTAATATCTTAAATCCAAAATAAAATTTTAAATTGTGTATTAATCTTTTTTTTTATTATTTAACTCTTAATAATATTTCACATTAATCTTTTTTTTTATTAACTCTTAATAATATTTCACATTAAAGTGGAGAGTGTAAGGATCATATTCTTATTTAATTTGAAAAAGTTATTTCAACTTGAATACATAATTTACGTTCAAAAAAAAAAAAAAAAACTTGAATAGATAATTAAAAATCACTTTCTTCATTTTAGTTCGTTTCAAACGATTTTTCATTCTCTTTTAAAATTCCTGATCATTCATCGTGTTGCTATTATGCGGTATATATAGGGTCGCAAAACATGTCATCTCAATTGATTATTAATAATATCAAAATAGTTAGAATTTTAATATATACTTTATATATTTTCAAATTTTACATATAATTAATCGAGATTAATTACAACCCTTAAATGGTCATTAACACTTGACACTTGCACTAATCAAGTAGATGACAATGAATGAAGTTCTTGCAAGTACTCCCAATTTTATTTTTTTTATTGCTTTGTCACTTTTTTTTATTATCCCACTTTAGCTTACTAACCCCATTTTAATTATGTTTATCTTTTTAGTTGGTAAGATGTTGTCACCTAAGCCCCTAATAGCTTCCTCTTCATTTCTCATTCTGCAAGTGGAGGCTCACTGTCAATTTTTTTTTTTTTCTTTTTTTGTGCAATTTATAAGGTCTTTCTTAGGGGCCATATTACAAACTCCTATTATTCTATGATGATCTTTTTTATATTCAATCATAAGTCTTGATCTCTTTACTCAACAAATCAAAGAGGTTTATTATATATCATTCAAAACTTTCATTTCTTACATAGAAAACAAAATATAAGAATTGATCTTACGCGTTCTATCATATTTAGATCTTTTCGCATGCTGATCAAATTATATATATATATATATATATATTTATTAGCTAAGATTGGATACCATTGAAGCACTAGCTTGAGCATGCAGGATTACTAAAATTTTTCTTATTATATTTATATAATAAATTGTACCCAAATATAGAAACTAGCTGTCAACCATTTTTTGACTAAGCAATTTTGACAAACTAGGATGAGGTTGTTGAGAGTCTTAGCAAACTAAAAGAAAAAAGATTGCATCAATGAGTACATATATATCAAACAAATAATCAACATTATGACAACATTATGATATTAAAAAAAATAAAAACTTGTAAAGGGTTGTTGAGCTTGCAAAAGTCATGCTCACCAACAACCACCACATCTTAATCCTAAGGGGTAGGTGAAACAAAAAAAAAAGCCAAATTCAAGATTTTAATGTATGCTATTAATAAGTGTATATAGTGGTTGGATGAGCTTAGCCAAAGCAAAGAATTTCAAACAGATCAATTAATTTTGACCAATTTAATTGTATGGATGGTCCAATAAATAACTTCATGCTTTAGGAATTGTTAGCCATGATTTTGATAGTGCATTAATGAGGAAGTTTATAATTTTAATTATTAATATTTATAATTTTTATTACGTTTTATATATATATTTTTTTTTTTCTGACATCACTGTTAGGTTATTTTCCCAATTTTTAAAAGCATGAAGTTTAGAATTAACCCAATTATTTAAAACTCGTATACCTTGTTAAGAGATAATGAAGATCTCTATTTTCCTCATTGAAAATTTTATGTATGTAATTTTCTTTCAATTAGCTAGAGTCCTTGCACCTCAACAGAAAGTCAAATGTTTTGATTTTTTCTCCCCAAGGCTACAACTTTTAATGTTCAAAAATAAATAAAAAATAAAAAATAAATAAATAAAATTAGGAGTGGTTTGGGATAATCTAAATAAGTGTACTTTTTTGACTTTTTATGAAATATGGGTTGGGTATGGGTTGAGTTTGAAGTGATATGTTAGAGAGTTGATGTGATTTAAATAAGATGATGTGACTTAAATAAGATAGTGACTTTTTAATTTTTTGACTTTTTGATTTTTTTAGATCATGCCAAATAAGGCCTTAATACGGCTTTTAGTATTGAATCTAAAGACATAGTTGATACAATGAGTGAAATTTGGCCAAATTAAACAAACCAAATATTTTGTGTTAAAACACTTGAATCCATATTTTGAGACCAAAGGATTTGTTCAGTTGATAAAAATGCATATTTTCCAATCATGATAATACTGGATTCAAGTTTCACCGGTGTAACTTCTTCTTCTCATACTTTTCACATGTCAATAATATAATTTTGAAAGTTCACATTTCACTAAAATTATGTGAATTTTTTTTATCAATTTTTTGAAATCTTATTAGCACATCAAGGCTAAATGCTACTTTTTTTTTCCAACATTTTCACTATCTTTTTGTGCATTATGGATGAGAACAAAATAAATTAATGTGTAGTTTCTAGCTCAACAATTTACTTCCAAACAAATATATAGTTTCATTTCATTACGCAGGACATTGTCTTATCTTTGACAAAAGTTACACAAAAAACTATATTATCAATTAATTTTCATGAGAAGTTGACAAAGAATTGGGGGATAATAACAAGAGTTTGGTATAAGGATTTAGGAAAGTTGGATGAGAAAAAAATTTGCTTTGATTATCCACCCAAACAGGGACTTCAAATTATTTATCATTATCTAGAAGTGTTTGGTGTAGAACAGCTTTCACCAACCCTTCATTGGCATGGACTATGATGCAAAGTTGATTACCATTTCTAAGAAATTAAACACCAAACAAAATCTTTTGCATATTGTGATAAGAAATCTAGATTTAAAAAAACAAAAAAAATTAATTGAAGAGTGGGTTAGGTTGAATTTTCTAATTTTCTAGAGGGTCAAAAGTGAAGGAATATTTTTTACGATGAGTTAGTGAAATATCGA